CGCCTCAGTTTTATTGGCAAGATTGCAGGAGTGTTTTGGCACTGACTTCTTCCTAGGCAGGAAGAGAATGACCGCCCCCAGGTCACCCAGTTGGCTTTCTGCCTCAGGAAAGTCTAGATTTCACAGTCTCCCAGTTTCTAGCCTGATGCCTTAACCACTGTACCAAACCACCCCTTAGTCTTTCTATACAGCATTTTCCTTTATTTCATGGAATTTTAATGGGATGAGGGTGGTGGGACAGACAAAAGAAGATGGGCAGAATCCTGAAGCAGAAACCAGTCCAGTTCTTCATCAGTCACTTTGCCTATGACTCCCCTTTTTCATTTGGTGAAGGGGGGGGGGGAATCCACAGAATCCAAGCAGAAAATCATCATTGGAGACTGAAACTGATGTGGGTCCTTTTATTTACACTGAGGGAACTCCAGGTTGCTCCTGCGTTTCTTCTGAGCTGGCTTTTGCCACTCTGGGAGCTGCGTGGTGTGCAGTCACTGTGAACAGACCATCTCGAGTGCCAAAGCCACATTTACTAATGTCGACCTATTTAAGAATAGGCAGAAGTAAGCCAAGGGGGGAAAAAAACTAACTTGCTTTTTCTTTTCTAGGGCACCTGGCAGCCTTCCCTTCAGCCCATTCCAAATTCACACTCTGGGCCAAGTTTTTCTGTCTGCTCAGGGTAGCTGCAGGCCAACCTGCCTCTGGTCAAGAGGGAGGGAAGTTGCCTCCAACACTACTTCAACTCCCAGAATTCCCCAGCCAGCTTTGTCTACCAGGCTTAAAGTGGCCAAGGTTGGGGACCCCTGGTCCAAGGGACAACTCCGACCTCACGCCGAGGCTGCAAAGCGAGGGAGGAAGGGAAGTCGGGGGACGGTCCTGCTAGACTCGTCGTGTGGAGGCCGATACTCGGTCAAAAAACCCGCCAAAGCAGCAGCAGTCCGGGCCTGCTCAAGGAAGCATCAGACCTGAAGGCCCGCATCGAGTGGCTAGAAGCCAGCCTAAGTCTGCGCCCTGCCACTTCAGCAAAAGATGCTGACATCTTGTAGGTGGGTGTAGGTGGTGATGGATAAGGAAAAAAATAAAACCTGGATACCCACGACTAAGAGACACTCGTCTATTGGAGCTCTTCCCTTCTTCCCCAATCCCTGGAGCTTCAGTTCTTAAAGCAATACGGAGGCTCAACCCATACTGAGGCTCCACCTGCCCCGGCAGGTTCTTTCATTTATTTCCCCCGCCCCCGCCCCCAACGTTTGCCGCCCGTTTCTTCCAACGCAGACCGTGCCCCAGCCGGCGAGTCAAGCCCCTCTCCTCCCTTGAAGCAAACTCACTCTGCCCATGCGCCGAAAAATTAACGTTACAAGTTTCCGGGATAGAAGAACCTGAGCTAACCATGAGAAGCCCCGTCAAGACTCAGCCGACTCCCGGCGCGCACCTCCGCCTACCATTCATTCGCCACTCCAGGCGTGTGTTTGGTTTGAGAAAGGCGCGCGCGCATACCGGGAGCCTCGCGGGCCGGCCTGAGCGAGCCGCCGGCGGTTGGTGAAGGGATGCGCTTGGGGAAAGGAGAAGTCTGGAACGACCACACCGACCCTCTTCCCCCACCCCGGTTATCCCACTAAGCCTAAAAAAAAATAAAAAATAAAAATCCTCCAATGTTTATCTTTTCGGGCTTTCCAATATATCGATGATGGGTACTTCTATCTACCACTGCGCCTCGTAGAGATTGCCTCAGCTTTTAAAAAATAAATAACACTTAAGTCAAGGTCATTCCAAGCCGCACAGGTTTCTGTCTGTCTTAAGTCAGCGGTGAGAGGAAGGAACACTCCCAATAAACCAAAAGGCACGGTTATAGCTCGCCACAATATTTTGAATAAATAATATTTTAAACAAATAACTTTCCAAAGCACCCTGGTAGGAGGGCATGAAATATCAGGCTAACGCCTCACCTTTGCTATGGATAACTTCAGGGACGCACCGAAGATGGGCTACCCTACTCTCTCTAACTTCCCGGCCCTCTTGAGGCTTCAGGCACTCTTCGGTCCCTCCCCATCCATATCTGAACCCCCGACATAAAAGGAGGGACATTTTACTATATCCGCCCAATAAATCAATTTTATGGGTTCTCCGTATACCCCAGAAGGAAGTGGAGAGGAAACATGCCCGCCAATGGATTAGGGGGCGGAAATAGTAGGAGGGGGGAGGGCAAGTGGACTACTAGTAGTACCAACCGGAGTTTTTTGTAAGACGAGGGTACGGAGGTACTCCACGTGATGGAGGAGGAAGATCAAAGGCCCGAGCCAATTTGTTTTTTTTTTTTAAGGCGGAAAGCAGCCTACTGAATCCATCACTTGAAAATATAGTATATTATATAATTTATTCTGCACCGGAGGAGGAGGGGGGGGGGGAATCTAGGAGGCTCGTTCCCCGGCAATGGTATGTTCCTCTTCAGCCCGAACACTACAGCCAGCCACGCAAAAACACGACCTTCCCCACGTTTCTTCCCTCGATCTGCAGACACCCCCCCCCCCAATTAGGGCACCCACTTAGCCATGCATCCATCCCTACCCACGTACGCATCACAGAGGCGCGCCGGCCACGGCGCTCCCCCTTCGCTGCCGGTCACTTCACGGCTCTCGGGTTTTACCGCCACGCATCCACCCGCCCCCTCCCCTTCGCTCCCTTTTAATCCATGCCATGGAGATCGCCAGACGCGGACGGGCACCGCCATCTCGCCCCGGGGAAGGCACACGGGCTCCGTAGGGGCAGAAGCGGCCAATCGGGCGCCGCGAGCCTCCTTCCTCCTAATCCCCTTACCAGTTTTCTTGCATCCATTGAATGGCTTCATTCTCGTTGAACTGCTTCTCGAATTCGTATTCCTGCAAAGTCAACCCTGACATGTTCATTGGAGCGGTCTTGAAGAGAACGCTTCGCTACGCCTAACTGGAAGGACCGCGTCTGCGATAGACCCTGTTTTTCGCTTCCCTTGGGGTTTATTGTTTTTTTTACCCCTCTCTCTCCTCCTTTCGGAGCGTCTCGTCAGGTGTCTCCTCTTCTGGTGCCCTTCTCCCTTTCAGCGCTGGGCTTGTCGTAGCATTGCCTTTCTGCTCTTCCTAGAGCCTCTCCTCCTCCTCCTCCTCCTCCTCTCGTGTCTGGAGACCTCCTCGTCTCTGCAATCTCGCCTGGGCAGGAAGGGAGCCGTTGCGGTCTTAGTGCTCAACTGCCGCCTTAGTCCTCCCAGAGCCATTCATTCTCTCTTTTAAGCGAGGAATTAGTTTTGGGCCGCGCTCCAATCGGCGTTGAGAAGGCGGAGCTTGCAGCGGTCCGAAAAACAGCGTCAGTCTTTTATAGGTAACCCCGGTCAGTAAGATGCCCCCGTCTGCCTGAGTTCTTCGGAAGGGTTGGCTTGTTAGGTGGGATACTCATCAGGAGAGTAATAAAGAAAGGATCACGGGAAAAGAAACAACAAGAGGATAGTCGTATCGCAGAAGAACGCAAGCGACGAATGTGCCGAATTGAAGATAATATTTTAATGCTCTGTCTTTTGCTTCGAAAACTCCTTTAAAAAAACAAACAAAAAAACAAGGTGACAATGATCAGGAACGAAGCAAATCTTATGAGGGAATGAAGAGGAAAAGAAAATGAAAAGCCAACTGATCACTAAACTTTATCTGAGTACATGTTGCTGATATAAAATGTTTTAAGAAAGGGGTTGCCCTGCACACTTTAGTAAAGAATCGTGGAATTCAAGTGGAACACACTGTTTTTTAGTAGTGCATAATTTAAACTGATAGAGGCCAAGTTGCTTTACATAAATTATTTGTATTTAGAAATTATAGTCTGATTTATTATGCTAAGTCCTAATATGGTTTATTATGGTATGTTGATTTAGCCTGGTGTGTGAATTGCATTATTTCACTTCTTTTCCATTCCATGGCATTCATTCACTTCTGGCTTCTCCAGACCAGCACGCAGGGTAAATTGAGAGACCCAATAAGTGCCTGAACCTAATGGATATCACTTGGCTAAACAACTAGTAGTATAACAACATAGATCTAGAGTGGTTAATGATCTGACAAAATCAATGTTTTGTAAAGGGAATGATTTCTGCTCTGTAATACTTATCCATGCCTTGCCAATTTTCTTACAGGGATGTCAAGTGTAGAAATAGACTTGTATAATACCTTGATTACTTGTTCCTACAGTACTTAAACCTTTTTTTAGAATCAGATACATAACATAATAGAGATTGTTTCTTGCCAAATAGTCCCTACCATGTGCTGCCTCTTTCATTATAATCAAGGATTATAATCCCTTGACTTTGGGGTCTCTATACAATCTATACAGCATCAGGGGGCATCAGCTGGCACTCTTGTTCCTGTTGGTCTCAGTTTGGTTATCACAGAAGAGCACTACAGCAGCGTCTCCGAGTAAATCTGTTAAACCTGCAATCTAGTACTAGTGATAGCTCCAAACTGGAACTGCAATAATCTCTTGATTGGACCATTGTAACAAGCTTTAAATTAAGTTAAATTGCATTCAAAACATAACTAACTAAAGGGTAAAAGGTATCAGAGAGTCTGAACAGTCAGCTATTCATTTTAGCACCAGCTACACTAAACAATGACCATGTTCACCAATATATTTAATATGATGACTGAATTAGTCCATTTGGAAGGACAGTTGTACAATTCACTGAATCAAACTAACCAAGTGGTCTATACTCGTGCAGCATGCTAAGGAAATAAAAATTGATATTAACTAAATTAATATTTAGTAAGCATAATATGTTGTGTGAAGTCAGCGATTGGATCTTCACCCGACATGTTTAAATCTGATGACAGAACACAGCATATTTTTAAAGCCAGTTCAAAATGGTGATATTTAAAGTGCTCGGTGGTTGGAAATTAGGGAACATAAGGTCACTCCTCACCAATAGTCTGTACACGCAGTAGAAGAATGTGATGACCCATCTTGTTCCCAGCCCATGCAGTATTGTAAAGTCTTCTGCTAATTCTTCCAGTTCCAGTGAATAACCAGTTTTTCCTGCTTCATCAGTCAGAGAGCCAAAGGGTCTAAATTTTATCTGACTCCACCTACCCATTTGAGAAGGTGTGTTCAGGCAAGGAACCTTGCCTTGATTATCATTGATACATTTCTGGAGCAAATGTCAATCAGCATTCTCAAAATATTTTCTCTCTGGATTTCCCTTTGTTAGCCAGCTGACATGGAAAAGGGGCAATATAATGTTCCTGCTGTATTCTCACAACTATTACTCTATGCTAACTAGTGAAAAAAGAAAGTGTCAGAAAGTTAATTTATGCCATAAAACACCTTATTGTGTACTTGGATATAAACTCAGATTTATTTATTTATTTTCCAAGCCCAGAACATCTTACATTGGAAAAACAAAATATGATATTTAAAATTAGTATAATCTAAATAAAGAAAACTTTCCATAAGTATATAAGGAGTATAAAAATAGAATCACAGAAGGAATGTAAAACAACTATGTGATATTATATAACATCTGAGGCTGAGAAAATAGTAGCCTGAATAGCTTTATCATTGGCCAGGAACAAATAATTTATTGTATAATTAGATGATTTGAGCCTAAGGAACTTGATTAGAACAGATCAGAACCAAATAATTATTGCCTTGATCCTTGATTGCCTTGGTTGATTCTTGTAGGAGGAACAGTTCTGTTTCTTTTTAAAATCTCCTGGCACTCTTTGATATGTTTGGTCATGACATCCTTTGGATTGTCTTGCCGGAAGGAAGGAAAGTATGTGGAAAAATGGCATTGAGCTCTGTCCCTCAAAGCAATGCATCCCAGTTCAGCTTGCTCACTCCAGAGACATGGACAATTTTGAACACATGTGCCAATCATCCATAGGAGGATTACAGATTACAAAAATTAAATTTAATGCAAGAATGAAAATGGCTAGGGATACGTTTCCTTCCTCTGGGGTCTTTCTACAGTTAGCCTTACCATGGCACAAATTGCTGCAAATTATAGCATGCATTAACCTCCTAAAAACAAATGACATATTTCTCTCAAGCCAATTATTTCTCTCACATGCAAATGCAAAAGTTATTATTTAACACACATTCCACTAAACATTAGTACAAAGATATATATGTTTACTGAGAAGTTCAAATTACTTTGTGTTTAGGTGGTTCACTCCCAGCTTGGTGTAATAAAAGCCTCAGTTACTTTTTTAATTGGATAATAGACCTATATTTTTAAAAGTGCTGTAATGAGTGTCATCATTGAAAGCTTCCTGCAGCTTTCAACAATATGGAAAACATTTTTATTTTTAGAAAAACCTTATTAAATGTTAAAAGGATAAATACAAAATACAACACATTTTCTTAAAAATGAAACAAAAACAAAGAACGTATACATTATTTTTAGTTGAGCAAACAATTGTACAATTATTTCACTGTACCAATTAGATGGAAATAAACTAAGTGATATTTAGAATTTTGAAAACACTTTCAAAGCTACTTCTAGTAGCTATTTGGTTTTTAGAAAAGGAACTCCATTTTAAAATACCCCCTTTCATTTTGTATTTGCATTTTAATATTTAAAATATGACTTCAATATATGTCTCCTCAGCATGCATCCCCATTATTCAGTTGCTGGAAAAAAACAGGAAACAATTTCTGGAGAACATAATAAGTTTTCCACTCACCACCATACTTTGTTGACATGGAGCTAATTTGTTTCACCATGTTTCTACCGGACTATGGCTTCCTATGTATAGGTTTCTCATGAAGACAATTAGATGTTCTGCTATTCCCATTTTATTCAGATAATTGCACAGGTTGACATGAAGCACATGTCTTTAAACTTGTTTGGATTTGTCAGTTATCTAGGATACATTATCAGTAATATCTTTCGTACCTCAAGTTTTTCTAAAACCATCTTAAATATCTGACATCTCCCTGTCCATGTAAGGCATTGAATGATCCTAAGCATTATTTTATTAGCATGTGAAATTAAAAGTATTATCTTTCTTCTGTATTGGTAATATAAATTGACCTCTTCCAATCTGTTGCCATTGTGTCATACTCCCAATTTGCTGACATAATTTTGTTAGAACCTTTACTGATTTTTCTGTTCCTTGCCATATTTCTGTAGATATTCTAGCAGTCCCTGTAGCTTTAATGTGATGATCAGAGAATTGATACAATTTCATTTTCTAGTATTATAGTTTTTTATATAATGGGTTTTATCAAACCCATCTTCTAGGGCAGGAGTGTCAAACTTGCGGTGTCATGGCGGCATCATGTAACGTATCGGGACTCTCCCCCGCCTTGCTAAACCGGGTGGGGGGCGGGGCCAGCACGTGACGCATCCAGCCCACAAGCCATTTGACACTCCTGTTCTAGGGCATTTTAGATATTTTACTTACAGAATTTCAATCTTCTTTTAATTGGTTACTATCTGTCCATTAGCATTCTAACTTTCTGAGGCTGGAAAGCTTCCTCAAAGACAATCTCAGAAAGGTGTCTGTTTCCATCACTGATGTCCTTACAGATGTCATTGTACTACTATTACTTAGTACAACTTCTTTGTCTCTTTTAACTCATGTCTATGGCTTTAGATTATTATTATTATTATTCTCATTTTTTTACTACCCCACTTATTGGTATCATTATTATGATTATGATTATTATGTTGTTTTTCATGTGTGCCGAGAACTTCTACACCAGAGACAAAATTCTTGTTTGTCTAATCACATTTGGCCAAATAAAGCTATCCTATCCCATCCCATCCTTTGTTAAGCTCTTTCATGAGAACATTGGCTTTTTTACCTTCCCCTCTCCTCTCCTCTCCCCCTCTCCTTCCCTTCACAGTCTCTACTCTGTTCCGATATGCAATTCTGCTTTATTTCTA